TAGATGGGCTGAATAACAATTGATAGGATGGGGGAGACACCCTTTGACATTTAGTAGACCCCATTCCTTCACTCATTTGTCCAAATGAGACAAAAACCACACCCCTCACCTCACCACTCTCATCCACTCGTAGAAACACCCTAGGATAGCAAGGAGGAGCTCTGCAAACCACCATTTTCACACCCAAATTCGAGCTCAAGCTTTAGTGCTCAAAGGAAGAAGATTAAAGAGGGAAAAAGTTGGGAAAGTGTGAACAATTAAGGTAACTAGTAATTCCACCCGTGCTACGCACGGGAGTGAAGAAGTTTGGATAAATCATACATTATCTTAAAGAATTTCATAGTCAATTAACCTAACTCAAAACATAAAATTAAAAACTAAAACAAAATAATCAATTTAAAGCATAAAATAAAATAAGTTTCATATTTAATACGAAATTAAGCAATGAGTATGCATGTATGTAAAGCAAGGGAACTATAAATTGGTATAAACTTTTTTTGGTATACTACATTCAACGCTGACTTCGTTGGTTTCCCTTTTTTGTCATATATAACAAACTTTAATCCAGACGGACTTGTTACTCTCGAGATCGCCACGTACAACTGTCCATGTGTAAAAACAGGCCGACGGAGGAAGATGCCGACCTTTTCCAATGATTGTCCCTGGCTCTTATTAATGGTCATTTCGTAGCTGACGTAGCACGAAAATTGTCTACGTTGAAAAGTGAACGGGAGACTAATGTCCGATGGTGTCAAAGTAAGGCGGGGAATAAGAAATTTTTCACCGGCATTTTCTTTATGCATCATCTGAGCCTCAATAATATGAGATCCAAGTTTAGTGCCCAGAAGCCATGTGTCATTGCACAATCCAGATGAGTGATCTATATTCCTCATAAGCATCACATAAACTCCAACTTTCAGCTTCAGCTCATGACTCGGCAAACCAGAACATTTGATACTATTAACAACTTCAGGAGAATGTATCTCATGCAAGAGATCATTACTATCTGAGTCGGATGAAGAAGCTGAATCTGAGCTTAGGTATGTCTTTAACTCCGAATCTATCTGGCTCAACATGTAATCGTTGACTTTATCAACCTCATCTATGATCGGAGCAAGAATAGCCCTGGAATAAAGATAATTAATCGAACCACTCTGGGCTAAGAAATCAAGATAAATAGTTTGAACTATAGATTCAACAGGATCAGACGTCATTGTAGCGTCTGGTATATCAATGAGTGATTCTCCATCTTGATTTTCAGCAAAAGCTATGTCACCAATCTTCAAAATCCACTCCGCAAAAGATTGGATAGTTGGTCCATCCGGCTGGTCGAGCATCCTTGTGAGCCTCACTAAAGTACAATGTGACCACAGGAATGAACTGTTCAGTGCCGCATGCACAATATCTTGTCTCATGCCTTTTGGTATCACAGGAAGAATCTGCCTAAAGTCACCACCAAATACAATCGTTTTCCCACCAAAAGGCAAGGTAGCGTCACAATGGCTGGAGTAACAAAGCACGTCTCTCATACTCCGGTCAATAGCTTCGAAACAGTGTCGATGCATCATCGATGCCTCATCCCATATAATCAACTTAGATTACTCTATCAGCTTAGCCAACAGACTACCATGTTTTATGTTGCACATGGAGTCTTCTACAACACTAAGTGGAATCGCAAACCTCGAATGTATGTGCAGTCCTTTCTCCAGGCAAGAGAAGCGAGTGTATTAAATGAGTCATTGATATTTTAATATAAAACCAATATATTAAAAGGCAAAAAATGATATCTCCTAGACGGCTCTAAATGTGAGAGGCCACTTAAGAGTTTTCTACATCTATCAGGCAAGAAAAAAGACAACCTTAATTAATTTGAACTTAAAAATACTTATATTGAAAAATAATTAATCAAGATAAAGTTAAAAACGATAATAACCAAATGAGACTATTAAAATCTATTATGAAATTTCATTCATCTATTATATTTAGTACATTCATATATACACAATGAATAGAGAAAAACCTCATCTTTTATTATTATGAGACAAATAATAAGAAAAATGTAATCAGACCGAGTAATGAGTCGAGCTTGTATTGAATCATAACTACCCTATTAACAGTAAACAAAACAGGTATTCCCCGCCACGTATCCATTATCTGATCAATGCGGTTTTCTCCGTTTTGACCAGAGCGGTTCAATACGAAGATCCACCAGATCGATCATAATTGTCATCCCTATCAAGACCTCCACATACTCACATCTATGTGCAAGAAAAGGGCAACGAAGGAAACATTAATTAATAATTTTATGAAATATAGGAGTATGTATCTTGTGTAAGTGGCTGCTTTCTGAACTAAATGAAGAAGTTCAATCTGAGCTTATATTAGTCTTTTACTTTGAATCTTTGTGTAACGATATGTAATCATGGACCTTATTAATTTCGTCTTCGGTTTTGCCAAAAGGATAATCTATGATCAGGGCAAAAAGAGACATGGAATTGAATAAAGATACATAGTCAGGTCACTCTCTGAGTTAAGAAGTCAAAGATAAATATTGTAAGTTACATCATTTTAATTCTTCTTAATCGAATTATACTAAAATATCATCATGAATAAAAGGGGGGCAGCCCAGTGCACGTTGGCACACCCGCAAGGCGAGGCTCCTTCCCGTTAGATGTTGATCAAATGCCTGCATGAAATTAAAGATGGATTTAAATAATTATGATTAATATTATATTCAGAATGTTAATACAAGATAAACACATAAAAGAAGGAAAGCAAACAATACTGATATATGAGTATTGTCACTCTAGATAGGAGCGCAGTTGTGATCTTCCAACATTCTTAAGTTTAACATGTCTTAATGTATGGGTATGAGAAAATTGAACTTATATGTGTGTAAAATCAACAACCTTAACCTATAAACCCAAGTGCTTTTATGGTCAGCTGGAATATTGATGAATAATTTTATTCATTTGAATAATCAAGTTTATTTCTAATGCAGGTTCATTTGAAGAAGACAGGTTTCATTGGAAGAAGGAATGTGCAGCTGAAGAGAGAAGAAGGTGTTTTACCAATTGGAAGAAGTGTATTGCTCGGTGTAGCTGTGACGAAAATGTGAAATTACCATTAGGCCGCAGGTTATTAGGTGGGAGAATGTTAGTATAAGAAGAGAAAATTGGGTCAAGTCAACGCAAGATGAGTGGAATTTCACATGTATAAACATACAAATAGAGAAAAATTGGATACAATATTCTACTGCATAACCCGATAATGACTATATCTCTTATTCTTTTACAATGGAGAAAATATACTATATAGCTTGTATGGATGATGGTGGGGTCTTACATCATTTGGCATAATCTAAATGAGTGAATATGCAATGAAATTAGTCTATTTCCTTCCATTTTTTATTTAATCTAAATGAAAAATTACTTAGGTGTGCCTTTTTTTAGGAAATGTCTTTCAATCCAACAACTCATCCGTTTTCAAGCAACATAGTGATAGAGGATGAGAACGCTGCATTAGAAATTGGTTTTAAACCAAAACTTAATAACAAAACTTATCGAATAACCACATGATAAGTAGAAAAATAATAAGAGGGCCAATAACCATTATGGGAGTTATAGTGGCATAGTTGTGGTTCTCAACTCTCACCAGAATGGGTGTTCAACTAAAAATGCCTTCAACTAATTACAAATGGAAAAAATTCCTAATTTATATGGATACCAATTTTAATGAAATTAACTGGATGGGAATACAGATACTTGAATAAAATCCCTAACATTAGAATCAGAAACCCCTAACGTATATGATTACCTATATCAAAGCATAGTTTGACTTAAAATATAATTTTTAAAAGGAATAAATAGGAAACCGCCTTTGTGTCACTGAAATAAAATTTACTTTTTTAGCATCCAATTGAGATATTGAGAGAGATGTATACACACATGCCCGGCTGAGTTGAGCGTATCACACAGTGTGTAATTTCTTATTTTTAGCTCGTTCAGCTAATTTTTTCTTTTACTATTACAAATGACTAAAAAAAGTTGCATATTCATCACCACTCAGCATAATTTTATATAATAAGGTCGTTAGAGAAATGTTAAATATATATAACTAATTAGAAGAGCGTATAATCACATAAACTCAATAAGAGCTCAATATATTTGATCATATCACTTGGACTCCCAAAATCTTTCTCAATATGTTTGGTTCATAGAAGCAAATTTGTAATGAGAAAATATGAGATTAGCAAGCAAAGAGGGTGCAAAATTATGTGTAGAAATATCTGGCCAACTTCAAAAATGCTCCAACAACTTAGTACTCAATTCCCTATGTTTGCAAGGCACGACTATGCCCACCAAATGGAGACATCACACAATGGTTATAGATTTTTCCTAATATTTTTTGCCCTAATAATTACATCACATTTGTAATGAAACAATTCAGAATTAAAGAGATTAGATCCCCATTATAAAGACTTCATTTCCAAGTCAAATTAACAAACAATTTACCACTAAAAAAATTTGCTAAATTGGTAAGAAGAATGTATGATTGAAGGAAGTAACTATTTTGGATTTCAGACCAACAAAATGCACTGCACACTAATGGGCAGAATTTTTATAGTTCCCTTGAAAATATGTTTTAAAACTTTAATCGGGAAGGCATTCAAATGAATTCTTGAAGATAACTGTACCGTTAAAAGCGCAGTTATCTTCATGAATTCATTTGAATGCCTTCCCGATTGAATTGTTAGTTCAAATTTGATATGAGTAAACTAGACTTAATGAATAAGATTCTCAAAAAAAATCATCAAAAAATTCCACCGGGAACCACCCCAAATGGCGTAGGCCGGACAGAGCATCCTAAATATGGCCTTATTTGACATTTTTTTTCAAGTTCGAGGCCCTATCTGACCCTTATCCCTAGATTATTAGAATCACATCTTTCTTCAAAATATTATAGATTTATAGATATGGATCTTAGGGTTTTCCTGAAGCACGCTCAGCGCTTAGGGTTTTCATCTGCAAGAATGGCTGAGCAGACTGAGAAGGCTTTCTTGAAGCAGCCAGGAGTTTTTCTCAGCTCAAAGAAAACAGGTAAGGGCAAGAGGCCCGGAAAGGGAGGCAACCGTTACTGGAAGAGCATCGGTTTGGGCTTTAAAACTCCTCGCGAGGCTATTGAAGGTACATACATTGACAAGAAATGCCCTTTCACGGGAAATGTTTCTATTAGAGGTTGTATCCTTTCCGGTACTTGCCATAGTGCTAAGATGAACAGAACAATCATTGTTCGCCGTGACTACCTCCATTTTGTGAAGAAGTATCAGAGGTATGAAAAAAGGCACTCAAATATTGCTGCTCATGTGTCACCATGCTTCCGTGTGAAAGAGGGTGACTACGTCACCATTGGTCAATGCAGACCATTATCCAAGACCGTTAGGTTCAATGTTTTGAAGGTGATTCCTGCTGGTTCTGCCAGTGGTGGAAAGAAGGCATTCACTGGACTGTGAAGTGTAGTTTCCTGTTAACTTTTAAAAGTTTTCTAAGTAATGATATTAGACTATGTTGCTTGATGTCGAGTTCTTATTTGTTTGGTCTTTATCCTACATTTTGTACTCTAAATTATAGAATGCATTTAAATTTTGGCAAAAAAAAAAAAATAGATATGGATCTTGTAGGGAAAATAACATATCTTTTAACTTCACATGAACTAGACTAATCCAATAAAAACCCAAAAAGGGGAGGGTAAAGAACTCTTTTGGATTAACCTAACCTAATAGCATGCATCTTTGGTGATGGACGAGGGATTACAAAGCGGGTAGGGAAGGATTCAAGAGAGTTGCTCCAAGAATCCTGTTAGTATGACAATGTTTAACATAGTTAGAGTAAGCGGTAATTAAAATTGAGATTTTATAGCTTTTTAAATTGCTAATTAATGACTGAGTTAAGCAATAAGTTGATAGCTATGATTTCCCTATGATACAATGAAACGAAGATTTTAGCTAATGATATAAAAGAGTGAATAAGCAGATCTAAAAAAAGATCTTTTAATTCTTATTAACAAGTTTATCCTTCAAAGATGACCGGTGAGCTGGATGAACTAACTATTCAATCCTTTGTTAATTGGATTTTATGGATTGAGGATTGTGCTTTACAAAAACTCAAGATAGATTATCACTTTTCGATAAATCGGATGATATGATTGCCCCAATGGCATTTGGTCTATTTGAATCTATATATCATGATATTTAACTCAGAGTGATCCAAGTTTTTTATCTTTAGTCATGGGCTATTATTTTTTTGAGCAAAGATAAGGTTGATAAGCTCAACAATAACATGTTGTATAAAATAGATTCGAGTTAAGAACTTATCTAAATCCAGGCTTAGTTTTTTGAAATCATGGGCTAAAACTGAAATTGGGGTGGTTTATGATGCTTGTGAGAAATATAAATTATATGGATTTTAATTTGCAAAGACACACAGCTTATGGTTACTATATGACATAAGAGAAATGCCGATGAAAAATTTCTTTTTCCTCGACTTATTTTAACACCATTAGATGTTAGACTCTCTTTCACTTTTAAGTGTGGACAATTTCTGTTAACGGTTAGCGATTCAATGACCATTAATAAGAGTTTGGAAAAAGGTTGGAATCTTCCTCTGTTGGTTTGTTTTTACGAATGGACGGTTTCACGTGATGGTCTCGAGAGTAATATGTCTATCAGAGTTAAAGTTTGTAATATTTAATGAAGATGAATAACCAACCTTTTGAACGTTGTATATAAATATGTTTATAGTTATTTGTAGTTTGCCTTGACAATTTCATGGATATACATGTACAACACCTACTTTATCACATGATGATTCATATTTAACTTCGAAATTATTTTTTAATACCTTACTACATTATTGAAATGCTTACTACATTAGTGTTTGACACAACATTTAAGAAAAAATAATAGAGATAATGAATTTACAAAAATGGTAAGTGTAACAAAATTAAAATACATCTCAAAAAGAAAGTATAGCAATTATTTCAATACAATGGGAATATAAAATATGACTTCTTATTTTGTTTTAGGTTTTTAATTACTTGATTCATTATCAATTTATTTTTTATTTTTAATATAATCGATTCAAAATTTTACGTAAGTGCTTCACTCCCGTGCAATGCACGGGTGAAGTAACTAGGATAGCAAGGAGGAGCTCTGCAAACCACCATTTTCACACCCAAATTCGAGCTCAAGCTTTAGTGCTCAAAGGAAGAAGATTAAAGAGGGAAAAAGTTGGGAAAGTGTGAACAATTAAGGTAATGACCTTATATTAACTTTTCCTTTATTTTTCTTCCACCATATGAAGTATATATCATATGAAGAACCTTTAGTATGGTTCCATATGTTATAAGTATGGATTCATGGGTTGGAATGTGGTTCTACGTCCAAAAACGGACTTAGAAGCCAAAACGACCGGTTCACCGGAAAATAACCTTTTAGAGGTTATTTGTATTAATATGAGTTTTATGATTATAAAACCTTGTTAGGAACTTGTAAGGGGTATTTCAAGTGATTTCAAAAAGTTGGAAAAGTCGCCGGAGTTGTCGCCGGAGTTGACCAAAAGTCGCCGGAGTTTCACCGGAGTTCAACCAAGAAGGGTAGAACTTCATAACGCTAGTTCAAGGTGAGTGGACGGCTTAATATCTTATAACTTTTGGGTTAATTATGAGATTACCTAAATAAATGTTATATGTGTTCATGATGATGTTTAAAAGATATTTAAACATGTGATTAGCCAACATGATTAAGTTGTATGAAAAGAATTAATTGTTTATGCATGAAATATGATATGAGGAATTATATAAAATGCATATTAGCTTGAAGTGTAAAAGAAGCACAAATGAGTATTATTAACTTAATTATATGATGATTAAGTTGATATGTACAAGGCTTGAATTGGCGGTCAACGACAACGTTGACCGATGGATAATGGATTAATTAATATCGGTTGATATTAGTTAATTATACATTTATATAATTGCATGTCTTTGCATGGATTGTGATACATAAGCTTTATGTATTGAATTAGTTATGAGTAACTAAGTATGATATAGACTCTATCTAGGTTGATAGGAGGTTGATCATAGGAAAATATTTTGGTGGAGGACCCTAGTACTTAAAAGTACTTAACACTCAAAACTTGGTGGAGAACCCTAGTACTTAAAAGTACTTAACACTCAAAACTTGGTGGAGGACCCTGGGGCTTAAAGTCTTAACACTCGGATTATAAATTGGTGGAGGACCCTGGGGCTTAAAGTCCTTAACACTCGGATTATAAATTGGTGGAGGACCCTGGGGCTTAAAGTCCTTAACACTCGGATAATAAATTGGTGGAGGACCCTAGTACTTAAAAGTACTTAACACTCAAAATTTGGTGGAGGACCCTAATACTTAAAAGTACTTAACACTCATAGATTATGATATTGAAATAGGGACAAGGAGGAGTCCTATACACTCATAGGTATATGGGTGGGTTGGGGTTTTTAGTCAAGAATATTGACTATTACTATTTTCCCAAATAAAACGGTGATCTACGGATCGGGTATTTTCCAAGTATATATATATACTAATGAGTATTTCATAACTTGGGGGGAAAGACTATTTATATAAGTATCACCCTATGTTTGGGTCTTATACTTGAAACGCTAGTTATTGTATATTTAGCCTGCTACTCGCTCGGTACTTGTACTGACCCCTTTGGGGGCCCCACCATTTTCAGGTTGAAGCTAGGGCTTGCTACTTGCACCTTCTCACGGGTGATATCAAATCAGGAAGACGTGGTTCGTGCTTCCTTATTTTCTTTCAAACTACCGAACACTTGCTCATGGATATTTGTTTTGCTATAAACTATTTTTGGGGCTTGCATGCCCATGTTGTTGGCCGGATGTGGCTCATGTCTTACCGTTAAATATTTCCGCTATTCATTGGTTTAAATGTGATGTTGCTATGTATGTTTACTACTGAGTATGGATGGATTATATTCTCGGACGCCTTGTGTAATTAAGTGAGGTTGACTCGCGGGTGACGTCACTTGATAATACGGCGGTTGTACACGCGCTTGGATTGCGGTTTGGGGCATGACAATTAAGTGGTATCAGATCCATCTCAGTTCTAAACTATATAATCAACCTCTCACAAAAGATTTTACAAAAGAGTTTTTACCGAAAACCATGAGCATTGTATTTTGACGTTTATAGGACTATTGGTGCTTAAGTTGCAAGGCCTCTAATTGTTAAGACGGTACCCTTAACAATTGGTATGGTGGTGACTTGGGCCAATACGTGCCTGTAACGTTCTTCCGTCAATTGACAAATATAGGAGTCTAATGACTCATCCATATTTCTTTCAGAAATGGAGGGCAGGCGAATGGCAACCAGGAACAATCCGAGGGGGCGGGCACCGGTAGCATCCCAGAGGGGAAGCCGGGCTGCATCTCGGGGCTCACGAGGAGGCCGTGGAGGCCGAGGAGGTCGTGGAGGGCATCAAACTCAAACGGTGAGCGACGGCCACGTTAGTTCGGTGTATGAAACCAACACCGAAGACTATGACTCCACATATGTTGCTGAAACGGGGCATGAGGAGACCCCATATGATGGGGGTGACATACACCGATGATGACGATGAAGAGAGTGATGCCAAGTTCGCCCAAATGGGCGAATTGCTTGAGTGGTATCAAAAAGAAAAACTGAGGAGAGACCTTAGGCGCCAAGCAAGGCGTGGCTCTCGCGGTGGTTCGGGTCAAGGAAGCCGGGGAGCTTCAAGGGCCACTCCCGCGGCGTCACATGATGGGCGTGAAGGAGGTTTTTGTGTGAGAATCTCCAAGTACCTCAAGGAGGCTAGGGTCTTGGGGTGTAAGTCCTTTGACGGCACCGGTGACATTACCGTTGCCGCCGATTGGATAAAGAAGGTGAAGGATGCGACAAAGGACATGCAAATTTCACCGGACGTGAAGTTGACTGTTGCTTCACGGCTGCTCGAGGGGATAGCTTCCACGTGGTGGGAGAGTGTAGAAGGGAAATACCATGGGGAGGTCTCGTGGTTGAACTTTGAGCAGGAATTTTATGACCAATACTACACCGACTACGAGAAGAATGTCAAGCGTAGGGAGTACACCAACCTCAAACAGAAGGAGGGTGTTTCTGTTAAACAGTTGGAGCAAGATTTTAGAACATTGGCTAGGTTCTTACCGGAGTATGCGATCAATGAGGACCGCATGTCGGAGCACTTTTGGGATGCCTTACTCTTGGACATTCGTGATCGGGCTACATACTCGCGCCACATGACCTTTAGCGAGGTGGTGGAGCAGGGCCTTCTTGGGGAGGCTCAATGGAATGAGAGAAAAGAAAGAGACGCCGAGGAGGCGAAAAAGAGAAAATGGCATAATTCGGGGCCGCCCGAGCAAGCACGGAAGAATAACCACGGTGGGGGTGGTGGTACGTTCAAGGCGCCGGCACCACCGGCGAAGAAGAACAAGGATGCTCGGTGGCACGCATCCTCCTCTCAAAATACGGGGCCTCCTAAGTGTGCCAACTGTTCAAAGAATCATTTCGGGAAGTGCAACGCACCCCCGAGGTGTTATCGATGTGGGAACACGGGCCACATGAAGGCTAATTGCCCACAATCGGGGGGAGGAGGAGCTCCGGGATCCGGAGGAGGAGCCATGACGGGAAGAAACCGTGCGGGGCCGTCAAACGGCGGTACTGGAAGAGGCGGCGCGTCCACATGTCATGCCGCGTCCGTAAATCAAGGCAGGACCCAAGCACGAGTGTACGCAATGACCGAGGCGGATGCGCGAGCAAACCCGGACTCCGTTGCAGGTAATACACTTATTTTCCTCTATTTCTAGGCTTATTTGGGTCATATGAGTCATTGGGTTTGGGTGTGGGCCACCCCGGGGTCAAACCCCGCGAATTCGGGGCGAAACGGGCTAAAAACAACTACGCGCGATCGCGCGTACCCACAGACGCACAACCGTGCGTGCGAGGCAGTAGCCTCTGGCCTTATTCCGCACAGACGCACGCCATGCGTGCAAGTAAGGCACGCCGTGCTTGGGACGCACGATCGTGCGTGACCAGCTACGCACGATCGTGCGTAGCCGGCAGTGGCGGATCTCTGATTTTCACGCACACACGACCGTGCGTGCCACCCAGGCACGCCGTGCGTGGACCCCCAACACCCGAAATCACTGTTCTAAAAATCGCTCTAGGCGCCCGACTAATCCCCGCCTAGGCGCTAGGCGGTGGTCGGGAGCCCCGATTTTAGTCTAGGCGCTCTGACTAATTGATTTGGCACCTAAGTGAATTAGTCAGCCGCCTAGGGCGCCCAGTTGCCCGCCTAGAGCGCTTAATGGGCCGCTTATGCGTGTACATTCATTGAAGATTTTTTGTTCTTTTTTATTTTAGTATCCTAAGAGATATATGTACCTTTAACTTTGACAATGCATAAGAAGAAAGCTACTAGTGAGTAAGTAAGTAGATATAATATATTATTAAATGTGATAACTCTATCATTCATGCATGTTAATGTGTATATGTGTGTGTATATCTTTTATACACACAAACACAACATTACTAATCATATTTATGCAAATATATTGATAAAACTACAATTTTTATGTCTCCGACTAGTCCCCGCCTAGGAGCCCGCCTAGCCGACTAGGCGCTAGGCGCTGGGCTGGCGCCCGACTAGCGCCTAGCGCCTTTTAGAACATTGCCCGAAATTGATTTTTTTCGCCCCGTTCTTCTACGTTTGGACCCCCGTTTGATTCCAAACATTAGTATGAACCTAATAACCTCCTAAAGATGGGTAAAAACATTAGAAAATGTATCTTACATGGTGTATAAATGTAGGAACATTAAAGATCAATGGTAGGTGTGCGAGGATCCTCATCGATACTGGGGCACAACGCTCATTTGTGAGTGAGGCGTTCGCCGAGGGCCTTGACGTGCCATTGACACCTATGACTCAAATGTTGCTAGTCTCCACACCGTTAGGAGACGACGTGGAGAGAAATCATTACTATCCGTCGTGTGAGGTAGAAGTGACGGGTCAACCTTTGACTTGTGATTTCGTACCTCTAAGCATGTTGGAGTTCGATGCAATCCTAGGAATGGATTGGCTCGAGAAACACCATGCTCGAGTAGATTGCTACACCAAGGTGTTGGAGCTCGAGGATGATCAAGGAAACACACTATGTTTCGAGGGAGATCGGGGGAAATCTAATGCTTGTATCATATCCGTGATGAGAGCACGGAAGATGATGAGGAAGGGATGCCACGCATACCTTGCCTACGTGGTGGACGATACCAAGAAGGAAGTCGACATCAAAGATGTACGGGTCGTGTGCAAATACCCGGATGTCTTTCCCAAAGACCTACCGGGGCTTCCACCCGATAGAGAGATAGAGTTTGTAATTGAAGTGGAGCCGGGAACCACACCCATTTCGATTCCTCCTTATCGAATGGCGCCGGCCGAACTCCAAGAGTTGAAGGTCCAACTACAAGAATTACTGGACAACGGGTTCATCAGACCCAGTCATTCACCGTGGGGAGCACCCGTACTCTTCGTAAAGAAGAAAGATGGTACACTAAGAATGTGTATCGACTACCGACAGTTGAACAAGGTCACAGTCAAGAACAGGTATCCTTTACCTAGGATTGATGACTTGTTTGATCAACTTCGAGGGGCTATAGTATTCTCGAAGATTGACTTGAGGTCGGGGTATCATCAGTTGAAGATCAAGGAGAGCGACATACCTAAGAGTGCATTTCGCACTAGGTATGGTCATTACGAGTTCCTTGTGATGTCATTTGGTTTAACCAACGCACCGGCGGCATTCATGGACTTGATGAACCGGGTGTTTAGTGAATACTTAGATCAATTTGTGATAGTATTCATTGATGATATCTTAATATACTCCAAGAGTGAGGAGGAGCACGAACATCACTTGGGGCTTATACTTGATCGACTAAGGGAAAAACAACTCTTTGCCAAGTTCTCTAAATGCGAATTTTGGCTCAAGGAGATTGGTTTTCTCGGTCACGTCATATCCGGTTCGGGCGTTGCTGTGGATAACGCCAAGATAAAGGCTATCATGGATTGGGAGAGACCCAAGAATGTGAAAGAGATACGTAGTTTCCTTGGCTTAGCGGGATACTATCGTAAATTTGTTGAAAAATTTTCTGTATTGGCGTCTCCATTAACGAAGCTCACAAAGAAAGGGGCCAAGTTCATATGGGACGACAAGTGTGAGAAAGGGTTCCTTGAACTGAAGAAACGACTTACCGAAGCACCAGTCCTTGCCCTACCCATACAAGGGATAGGGTATGATATATACAGTGATGATAGCATCCAAGGGCTTGGATGTGTACTGATGCAAAACGGTAAATTGATTGCCTATGCTTCAAGGCAATTGAGAAAGCACGAGGTGAACTACCCTACCCATGACCTAGAATTGGGGGCGGTAGTGTTTGCACTGAAAATCTGGAGGCATTATCTCTACGGGGAGACATGTCACATTTTTACAGACCATAAGAGCTTGAAGTACGTATTCACTCAGAAAGAGTTGAATATGAGACAGAGGAGATGGATGGAGTTGATCAAGGACTATGACTTGATCATCGATTACCATCCAGGAAAGGCCAACGTCGTGGCCGACGCACTAAGCAGAAAGAGTACGTCGGGGACGCTACTCACATGTCTACAGGCATTGAGAGCGCTCGTGGAGGTGTCCACGTGCGGGGCTCTCATTGCTCGATTCGAGGTTAGGCCCACCCTATTGGCCGAGATTAGTCGAAGTCAGGCCATTGATGAGGAATGTCAGAAGATCCGTGAAAGGATCCTTGAAGGACCCGTTGAGAACTTCCGAGTACGTGATGACGGTCTATTATTGTTTAAGGATCGTGTATGCATACCAAAGAATGAAGACCTCCAGAAGTCCATACTTGAGGAGGCTCATTCTTCAGCTTATGCTATGCATCCAGGAGGTACTAAGATGTACCGAGATTTGAAGGAAAGTTACTGGTGGTCAGGTATGAAGAGAGACATCGCAGAATATGTGAGTCGGTGCCTTACTTGCCAGCAAGTTAAGGCAGAGCATCGGCACCCGGCAGGGCTTTTGCAACCACTTACCATCCCGGAGTGGAAGTGGGAGCACGTGACCATGGACTTCGTGGTGGGGCTACCACGAACAGTGAACAACTATGACGCAGTATGGGTACGGTAGTGGTTGATAGGCTCACCAAGAGTGCACACTTTTTGTAACACCCCCATTTTTCCCACCAAAATAAAATAACATTTTGAAATGAAAACATCTTTATTATAAAACACATTTAGAGTACAGCGGAAGTCTTTAATGGAAAAACAGGTGTGTCACCGCCACACTCAACCTATACATGATTGAGTGCACAGGCTATCCACCATAAATTCAAGTAGCCATCGGATAAAACTTAAAACAAGTTTATGGATTACAATTTTAAACAACAATAATTAATCAAACGTGTGCAACTAGCGGAACACTCGGGCAGCAAGTACATCAATCTTCATAATCATAATCATCTGTACAATAGAGCAAAGAGAAAAAGAGAAAAGAGACAAAAATTAGCTTTAGAGCTAAGTAAGATTCCACCCGAACCCGTAAAATAATATAATTTGGAAAATAGGTTTTTATATATGTATATATATCGAAAAGTAGTCTCTCATATTTCCAAAATGGTTTAATGTCATAAAATAATTTCCACAATAGATAAGATCATCCTTCAATTCCTCCAAAAGTAATACTTTAGATTCTTTTAAGAGTGGGCGAAACTCAAGATTCCTCGAGCCCAATGAGTCGTTGTTATCTACGACTCATCCCGGAATTCCGGCTCCCACCGACCACCAATTGGAAGCTGAATTTCAACCTTAAGTGTGCACACCCTCTAAAAGGGATTCCAAGCCCTCCGAGTAGTAAGAAACCCAAGTAGGCGGGATGTTTTCTACCACCTACTCACAAGGGACATTGTCCAAGGGTAAATTAGGTAACTACTACTACGACCACCAAAGGATCTTTGATCCTCAAATAAAAGCCCGGGATGTCTACCGGAGTATGTCATTGCCGGACTGGTTACCGACCCAAATAAATTTCACCAAAAGTAGTAGTAGCCCTAACCACCCACGCCTCGTGTTTCTCTCGAGACGTAAGAATATATATTATGAAAACTTTAAGTTTTCCCCAAATCATTCTTGTCACATTTTCTCAAAAATATCCTTTGTAATAAATATAAATCCACCAATATTCTTTAATAAAAAGAATATACATATAATCATCCATAAAAGGTAATAATCCACCAATATTTATATAGTCAAAATATTCTATCCATGTCAAACATATAATTTCCAATTCATAAATAATTCACATAGTGCAAATATTGCATACATATAAGTACGAGGCAAAACATTTTGGTTGACATAGAACTTACCTTAAATTGCGATAATCTCCTTAATAAAATCTCTAGCTTAATCTTCACTTGAATTCTCCTTCTAATATTGATCAAAATTCTAAATCAATAACTATTCTATTATTTCGTTATTTCTTTTATATCCAACCTTTAATTACTTTAACTTCATAATTCCTTCTTTAAATATAAATATTAAATTAATAAATCTTACTAACTGTTTATTTCCAGTTCATTCTTATTTTTTTTTTCTTTAATTATAATAACCCAACTCGGTTTTTCTTAATTTGTTTGGTTAAATAGTTAACTAGTCCAATTATATTAACTACATAATAATTTCATTATTTCGAATTTAAATAATCAATTTCAGTTCAAAACTCAGTTTACATAATTTATATAATTTATTTAATAACCCTTTTAATAATAACTTGACTTAGGCAATAATTCGAAATAATAATCATTAATGATAATCTAATCTCAATAACAACTTTAATTAGTTCAATAGTTTATTTATACTAACTAACCCAATTAAATTAATTTATCCAATCCTCCAATTTTATTTATTTGAATCACTAATTTAATTGAACTAACTAAATCAAATAAATAAGTTTAATTATATCAATATAGCTAAATACGTTAATCTAATTCAATTAAGTCCAATAATCAAATTCTAATCTCGTTTTAATTTTCTATTTTTTATATAAAGTCCAGAAATGTTATCAAGTCTATAAATTAACTAATTTATCCATTAAACTAATTGATTTAGTTAAACTAGTCCAATGAAGTCAATTAACTAACTTATTAAGTACACATTACTTAATTAATTTGTTTATATTCATCAACTACTTTTTATGAGTTCAAATAGTTTAATAATTTATATGGAGTCCAAATCACTAATAATCAAGGGTAATAATTATTAATTTAATCACGCTAATTTAATTAGTCAACTAATTCAATAATTTATTTATTAAGTCCAAATATAGTCATTCATCTATACTAGATAACCCAACTTTATTTTCTTTTCCTTATTTTATTACAAACATCATTTTAAGTCCAGAACATTATTTTCAATCTTAGTGATTTATTTATTTCACCATTAATATCAAAATTTCCTTATTTAATTACTTAACTAGTTTATATGGCACAATTAAATTAAATAACTTAATCATCACTTTTATAAATTACTAATCATCCATAACTATAGTTTGGGTCTATACTTGACCTAGGTTGTCCAGATATTTATTTTAGAATTATTTCCTTTATTTATTCACTTAATTTCATATATCTATTAACCGGTTTAATTACAATTAAATATGCAAATTATAATTTTTATTAATTATAAATGGTCCCAAATGTCCTAGTTAGTCATATATTTAATCTATCTTGCTCCCATATTTATTTCATAATTATTTTCGTCATTTAGTTAATTATTTACTAAATGTGTACAACTTAGCCCAATTACAATTAAATCAATTAAAAATAGCTACAAATATTATTTTTCAATTATTCTTGGTCCGAATATGTATTTTTATACCAGGTATTTAATTTATATTTTTCCAGATTTTATTTATTTCATTTACTATTTTATTTTTAATTTTTTATTGAAAACGGGCCGAACCGGCCCAAATTCGCGACCCGGCCCAAGAAGACTGGGTTGTCTCCTTCCCAGCTTCTCCAGGTCGCGATTCCGGCGACCGGAATCCCGAAAACTTCGGCGAGCAATAACTTTACTTACAGGTAACGGATTTAAACGATTCAAGTTGCAAAATGATCCTATCTACGGCCAAATTTCCGCACTTGCTGAAGACCCATTTCCTTGGCTTGCAACTCCGGCGACCTCTAGGATGCTCCGGTGACTACGAATCGGTCTGGAATTTATTGGGAAATATTCCTAGACCTCTCACGACCCTCCTCTCTTGTTTATAGGCAATTTCTTACGTAAATTTATATATGTGTATTTTTCCGGCGAGTAAGTATATATATATATTCTCTACTCGTTTTCTTCACTTTGTGGTGATTTAGAATGGGAAGGAAGCTGTATTTATAGCTGTAGATCGATCATTCTAGGCTGAATCATACATGGAGTGATTGGTTTGAATTATTTCTTCATTATTATTCAATATTATTATACATAGTATTATGAACATGCATGTGTAAATGTTGGTTGTTCTAATGCATTCTAAGTCTAGTCCGCAAGTTCATTGCATATATTATTACCTCTATTTGTATTATTGTGAACACCTATGTGTATGATTGTCATCCACAAGTTACATTTTATGTGTATATGTATATTATTACATGTTACAAAATGTCACTTATAATACTTTGATATTTATTTTTATTTACCTTGTCAGATATATTTTATCTGATTTATTTTTATTTTTATTTATTTTATTTTTTTTTTCCGATGCCACATAAGTGTTTAATTTTCATTGCATGTAGTGTGCGTATATTTTTATACACCAAGTATAAAAAAAATATTTTGATCTTACTTTCATTTGATTTATCAGATATAACTTATCTGATTTATTTATTTATTTTTATTTCAAATTTTCAAGGTATCACATTCTACCCTCCTTAAAGAATGCTTCGTCCTCGAAGCATAAACTAAGACGCGAATTAAGTATGAAGATGAATTATTATAGGTTTATAAGATATGACAACCTGCCCCCCTAAAAGAAAGGTTACGTCCTCGTAACCGAATATTTACCTTAATTGAAAAGTTCAGGATACCGTTTACGCATATCCTCTTCTGTCTCCCATGTTGCATTCTCGGTCAAATGGTTTGACCAAAGTACTTTTACCATCTTAACTGTCTTCTTCCTTGTCTCTCGGGTCTTAGTATCGAGAATCTCTATGGGTTTTTCTTCGTAGGATAATGTCTCATCCATTTCAATCACCTAATAATATAACGGTTAACTTATATTCTTTTCAATTTACGTTTGGCTCATGTTAAGTCTAGGATTTCTTACCTCCGGATTGATGATATGTGACTCATCTCGAACATACTTCTTTAATTGTGATACGTGAAAGACGTTATGTACCTAGCATATATCGGTATGTTAAGAATGTATTTTAATCGTAGAGAAGTATTTGATTTCAAATCGGTTGTTACCTTATCCAACTCCGTGGGTAGAGCTAATCGATATGCCACTTTTCCCACCTTCTCTAGGATGTCATAGGGTCCGATGAATCTCGGACTTAGTTTCCCTTTCTTCCCGAACCTCATTACACCCCTTGTAGGAGAGACTTTGAGTAGAACTTTCTCCCCTAGTTCGAATTCAGTTGGTTTCCTCCCAAGATCAGCATATGATTTCTGTCGGTCTTGGGCAGCCTTCATCCTTTCTTGGATAACTTTGATTTTCTCAATAGTATCTTGCAAGTATTGTGGTCCTAGGACCACCTGATCGACCATGTCACCCCAACATAAGGGACTCCTACACTTTTGACCATATAGAGCTTCGTATGGGGCCATTCCGATGCTAGCATGGTAACTGTTATTGTACGAAAACTCTACCAAATCTAGGTGTTCATCCCATGATCCTTGCAAATCAAGAACACATGCCCTCAACATGTCTTCTAATGTTTGGATTGTTCTTTCGGTCTGTCCGTCCGTGGTTGGATGGAAAGCAGTACTTAACTTCAATTTTGTCCCCATAGCCGTTTGTAATTCTTTCCAAAATTGGGATAAGAATCGTGAATCTCGGTCTGATACGATGTCTTGAGGTACTCCGTGGTGTTTGACCACGTGTTTGACATAGGCTTTTGCCAGTTTCTCCATGCTCCAGGTTTCATTCATAGGAATGAACCTTGCAGTTTTGGTCAATCTATCCACTACCACCCAAATTTTATCTTTCCCGGACTTTGTTAAAGGTAAACCCCCGACAAAGTCCATTGAGATTGAATCCCATTTCCATGTTGGTACTTCCAAGGGTTGCACGAGTCCCTTGGGTTTGCATCTCTCCGCTTTGACTTTTTGGCAGTTCAAACATCGGGATACAAATTCAGCTACTTCTTTCTTCATTCCCGGCCACCAAAAGTTCTTTTTGAGGTCTTTGTATAGTTTGTCTCCCCCGGGATGTACCGAGTAGGGCGTGTTGTGTCCCTCCTCCATGATTTGTTTTTTAATATCTGTACACTTCAGTGGAACACACCACCTTCCCTTGTATCGGATGCTCCCATCTTCATGTACCTTAAATGGTCCGTTGACGCCATCTTTCATTCCTTCCTTGATTCTTTCGAGCTTTACATCTCCCGGTTGTCCGTTCTTGATTTCGTCAAAGATAGATGGTATAACAGTCATAGTACATAACTGTATTTCACCATCTACTTCGCCATATTGCTTTACTTCCAAGCTCAATCTTTGGAAGTCTCGGAATAGTTCTTCTGGTAATATCCATGTTGCTCGGCATGAGTGCCCAGATTTCCGGCTCAAAGCATCCGCCACCACGTTAGCTTTTCCCTCGTGGTATTGGATTTCTAGATCGTAATCATTGATAAGCTCGAGCCATCTTCTTTGCCTCATGTTAAGCTCTTTTTGAGTGAATATGTACTTCAAGCTTTTGTGGTCAGTGTATATCTTACAATGTGCTCCGTATAGGTAATGTCTCCAGATTTTCAAAGCAAACACTACTGCAGCTAACTCCAGGTCATGGGTAGGATAATTGACTTCATGCACCTTTAGTTGTCTTGATGCATAAGCCACCACTTTCCTATTCTGCATCAGCACACACCCCAACCCCTTCTTGGATGCATCACTATAGATATCAAATCCCTCCGTCCCTGACGGTAGTGTCAAGACCGGCGCAGTTGTGAGTCTTTTCTTCAACTCTTGGAATGCTGCTTCACAATCTTCATTCCATTGGAATTTGGTTGTCTTCTTTGTCAGGTTGGTTAGCGGTCTTGCTATCTTGGAGAAATCTTTAACAAATCTCCTATAGTATCCCGCTAGACCCAAGAAACTTCTTACCTCTGTGACCGAGGTAGGTGCACGCCATTCAACCACCGCTTCAATCTTCGATGGATCTACGGATACGCCTTCCTGGGTGATGATGTGGCCCAAGAACGCTACCTGATCCTGCCAGAAGTCACACTTTGAGAGTTTGGCATACAACTGGTTCTCTCTCAAAGTTTGTAACGTGAGTCTTAAGTGTTTCTCGTGATCCTCCGGGGTTTTTGAATACACAAGAATATCATCGATGAATACCACCACAAATGCATCAAGATAAGGTCGGAATACACGGTTCATTAGGTCCATGAATACCGCCGGTGCATTTGTTAAACCAAACGGCATCACAGTGAACTCGTAGTGTCCATACCTCGTGCGGAATGCTGTTTTTGGTACATCTTTTTCGGATATTCTCACTTGATGATATCCAGAGCGCAAGTCTATCTTAGAGAACGTGCTAGCCCCCTTCAATTGATCAAACAAGTCGTCAATTCGGGGCAATGGATACTTGTTCTTGATAGTTGCTTGATTCAACTCTCGGTAATCGATGCATAGCCTTAGACTCCCATCTTTCTTTTTGACAAATAAGACCGGAGCGCCCCAAGGTGAGACACTCGGTCTTATGTACCCCTTCTCTAACAACTCCTCTAGTTGTTCCTTCAGCTCCTGCATTTCTTTCGGTGCCATCCGGTAAGGTGCTTTTGAAATTGGCGCGGTTCCGGGCATCAACTCAATTGAGAATTCAACTTCTCTCTCGGGTGGCATCCCTGGAATCTCTTCCGGAAATACATCCGGAAATTCATTGACTACGGCAATTTGGTCAATGTTTGGCTCCCCTGTATTCACCTCTTTCATAAAGCACAGGTATGTTTCATACCCCTTTCGGATATGTCGCCTTAATTGTTGCATAGTCATCAGCCTCATACTAGGCTTGGATGTGATTGCTTTGTAAGATATTCGCTTCCCATTTGGACCCTTCAAGATCACCTTCTGTTCATCACAGAGGATCCTGGCTTTGTATTTCCCCAACCAATCCATGCCCAGTACTATGTCAATATCTTTTAAGTCAAATTGGATTAAATCTCCAGGTAGGTTGGATTCAGATATGAGTATGGGAATGTTGGAGTATACATTTCCACAAGTTACAAATTTATCTGAGGCGGTTCTTACATTCAAGTCTATTCTAGCCGTTGGTTCAATCTTCAATTTCTTAACGAAACTAGAAGATATGAAACTGTGAGAAGCACCAGAATCAAATAGAACATAAGCAGGCTCAGAATTTACAAGGAATGTACCTGAAACCACATCATTAGCATTGGCTTGGGCCTGATTCATCACCATGATTCGCCCTTGGTTCGGACGGTTGCCGTTGTTTCCGCCGTTGCCATTGTTCCCGCCATTGCCATTGCCATGATTATTCTCCCCTCCTCCTCGAGGGTTGCGGTTGTTGTTGGCGGCGGCATTGTTGTTGTTATTTTGTCCTCCATTTGGCCCAGCTTGGTTCATATCTGGCCTTCCTCCATCACGGTATTGCACCTGGTGCACTGGTGCCCCATTGGTCTTTGAGAGACACTCGAAGGTTCGGTGCCCTAGCTTCCCACAATTGAAACATTTTGTCAGGCTTCCATCGCAATTAACACCAGGATGATCTCTCCTGCACCTCTTGCAGTAGAAGTGTCTATCTCTGGGAGCAACTCTTCGATCATTTTGTTGGTTTTGACCGTGGAAATTTCTTCCACCTTGGTCATCTCTCCTCCTCCTCCCTTCTTGTTGCTGTGTAGGTGGGTGCACTCTGACCCTCTTTTCTCCTCGACCTCCATCTTCGTCCCTCTTCATCTTCTGGTTCCTCTCTCTTTGTAGTTGCTGAACTCGATAGTGAACTGCAGCTCTATCATAAGCTTCAGTCAGAGTTTGGCAACCCAAAACAGCGACGATTTTCTGCGTATCATAGTTTAATCCGTAGATAAATTTCTCAACTTTGGTGCTTTCATCAGGCACTATTGTTTTCGCAAATGGCGCGAGGTCCACGAATTTATTGTGATATTCCTGGGCACTCATGCCCATCTGTTTCAAATGTATGAATTCATCACGCATGGTGGCCTGAACGTGTGCAGGATAAAAACGTTTCCTCATGGCAATCTTGAAAGCTTCCCAATTGAAGTCAGGTTGTTGACGTAAAGTTGGGCCTGATGAGACCCACCAGTTATCTGCCTCTTGCTGTAAATAGTAAACAGCAATGTCAACCCTTTGCTCTTCCGGACAGCTCACCGCGTCGAAGAGTTTGTCAAAGAGTCGGAGCCAATTCTCGAGGATACGAGGATCTTCTTGCCCATGAAAGCTTGGAGGGTTGCGAGATGCCACTCGTTTTGCGGCATCATTCCCGTTGTTCTGGTTTTGGTTGTTCTGGAGCACAGTAGCACCCAGTGTGTGCATAAATTGTGCCAGTTGCTGAACGCTTTGTGCCAACTCAGCATTGGTGGGCGTGTTATCAGGGTCTCTTCTTGGTGCCATGATATCTTGATGACACAAAGTATTCGTGTAAGAATTTCTATATTTTACTCCTAAGGGTCCTAGTTCAACTAAGGATTCCATAGGCTATGTAACAAGAATATATAAAAATGTACATAACAATCATACAGAGGATTCATACTTCACATAAGATCACTTTCGCACATAATGTTTGTACATACCTTAGCCACTTAGGAATTTTGCCTTATGAGGCATTCCATTTAGCATTTGGGGTTCCCATTTCTCATATGGGCCCACAATTAGCATAATTATCACATACATGATACATGTAAGGAAAATAAATACTCACAAGGTCCTCACCACGTTCCTAAAAGGCCATTTCCTAGCTATATTATCTTTCCTAATTTTAAAAATATTTGAAAATCTCCCTTTTGAAGGTACAATTTCAAAGGTTTCCTTCAACGATTTCGAACGACGAAGTTTCAGCACAAGGAGAAATTCCCAGGTAGTTGGACGAGCGCAAAGGCTCAATTAAGAACCAACAGCCTTAGACTCTTATCGTCTTGGTGACAGAATTTCTCCATACAACCTATTACCTCGTGTTCTAATCCCTTTGGAAAACCTAAGGCTCTGATACCAACTTGTAACACTCCCATTTTTCCCACCAAAATAAAATAACATTTTGAAATGAAAACATCTTTATTATAAAACACATTTAGAGTACAGCGGAAGTCTTTAATGGAAAAACAGGTGTGTCACCGCCACACTCAACCTATACATGATTGAGTGCACAGGCTATCCACCATAAATTCAAGTAGCCATCGGATAAAACTTAAAACAAGTTTATGGATTACAATTTTAAACAACAATAATTAATCAAACGTGTGCAACTAGCGGAACACTCGGGCAGCAAGTACATCAATCTTCATAATCATAATCATCTGTACAATAGAGCAAAGAGAAAAAGAGAAAAGAGACAAAAATTAGCTTTAGAGCTAAGTAAGATTCCACCCGAACCCGTAAAATAATATAATTTGGAAAATAGGTTTTTATATATGTATATATATCGAAAAGTAGTCTCTCATATTTCCAAAATGGTTTAATGTCATAAAATAATTTCCACAATAGATAAGATCATCCTTCAATTCCTCCAAAAGTAATACTTTAGATTCTTTTAAGAGTGGGCGAAACTCAAGATTCCTCGAGCCCAATGAGTCGTTGTTATCTACGACTCATCCCGGAATTCCGGCTCCCACCGACCACCAATTGGAAGCTGAATTTCTACCTTAAGTGTGCACACCCTCTAAAAGGGATTCCAAGCCCTCCGAGTAGTAAGAAACCCAAGTAGGCGGGATGTTTTCTACCACCTACTCACAAGGGACATTGTCCAAGGGTAAATTAGGTAACTACTACTACGACCACCAAAGGATCTTTGATCCTCAAATAAAAGCCCGGGATGTCTACCGGAGTATGTCATTGCCGGACTGGTTACCGACCCAAATAAATTTCACCAAAAGTAGTAGTAGCCCTAACCACCCACGCCTCGTGTTTCTCTCGAGACGTAAGAATATATATTATGAAAACTTTAAGTTTTCCCCAAATCATTCTTGTCACATTTTCTCAAAAATATCCTTTGTAATAAATATAAATCCACCAATATTCTTTAATAAAAAGAATATACATATAATCATCCATAAAAGGTAATAATCCACCAATATTTATATAGTCAAAATATTCTATCCATGTCAAACATATAATTTCCAATTCATAAATAATTCACATAGTGCAAATATTGCATACATATAAGTACGAGGCAAAACATTTTGGTTGACATAGAACTTACCTTAAATTGCGATAATCTCCTTAATAAAATCTCTAGCTTGATCTTCACTTGAATTCTCCTTCTAATATTGATCAAAATTCTAAATCAATAACTATTCTATTATTTCGTTATTTCTTTTATATCCAACCTTTAATTACTTTAACTTCATAATTCCTTCTTTAAATATAAATATTAAATTAATAAATCTTACTAACTGTTTATTTCCAGTTCATTCTTATTTTTTTTTTCTTTAATTAAAATAACCCAACTCGGTTTTTCTTAATTTGTTTGGTTAAATAGTTAACTAGTCCAATTATATTAACTACATAATAATTTCATTATTTCGAATTTAAATAATCAATTTCAGTTCAAAACTCAGTTTACATAATTTATATAATTTATTTAATAACCCTTTTAATAATAACTTGACTTAGGCAATAATTCGAAATAATAATCATTAATGATAATCTAATCTCAATAACAACTTTAATTAGTTCAATAGTTTATTTATACTAACTAACCCAATTAAATTAATTTATCCAATCCTCCAATTTTATTTATTTGAATCACTAATTTAATTGAACTAACTAAATCAAATAAATAAGTTTAATTATATCAATATAGCTAAATACGTTAATCTAATTCAATTAAGTCCAATAATCAAATTCTAATCTCGTTTTAATTTTCTATTTTTTATATAAAGTCCAGAAATGTTATCAAGTCTATAAATTAACTAATTTATCCATTAAACTAATTGATTTAGTTAAACTAGTCCAATGAAGTCAATTAACTAACTTATTAAGTACACATTACTTAATTAATTTGTTTATATTCATCAACTACTTTTTATGAGTTCAAATAGTTTAATAATTTATATGGAGTCCAAATCACTAATAATCAAGGGTAATAATTATTAATTTAATCACGCTAATTTAATTAGTCAACTAATTCAATAATTTATTTATTAAGTCCAAATATAGTCATTCATCTATACTAGATAACCCAACTTTATTTTCTTTTCCTTATTTTATTACAAACATCATTTTAAGTCCAGAACATTATTTTCAATCTTAGTGATTTATTTATTTCACCATTAATATCAAAATTTCCTTATTTAATTACTTAACTAGTTTATATGGCACAATTAAATTAAATAACTTAATCATCACTTTTATAAATTACTAATCATCCATAACTATAGTTTGGGTCTATACTTGACCTAGGTTGTCCAGATATTTATTTTAGAATTATTTCCTTTATTTATTCACTTAATTTCATATATCTATTAACCGGTTTAATTACAATTAAATATGCAAATTATAATTTTTATTAATTATAAATGGTCCCAAATGTCCTAGTTAGTCATATATTTAATCTATCTTGCTCCCATATTTATTTCATAATTATTTTCGTCATTTAGTTAATTATTTACTAAATGTGTACAACTTGGCCCAATTACAATTAAATCAATTAAAAATAGCTACAAATATTATTTTTCAATTATTCTTGGTCCGAATATGTATTTTTATACCAGGTATTTAATTTATATTTTTCCAGATTTTATTTATTTCATTTACTATTTTATTTTTAATTTTTTATTGAAAACGGGCCGAACCGGCCCAAATTCGCGACCCGGCCCAAGAAGACTGGGTTGTCTCCTTCCCAGCTTCTCCAGGTCGCGATTCCGGCGACCGGAATCCCGAAAACTTCGGCGAGCGATAACTTTACTTACAGGTAACGGATTTAAACGATTCAAGTTGCAAAATGATCCTGACGTCGAGGAGAAGCTCCGCCACCCCTATCTACGGCCAAATTTCCGCACTTGCTGAAGACCCATTTCCTTGGCTTGCAACTCCGGCGACCTCTAGGATGCTCCGGTGACTACGAATCGGTCTGGAATTTATTGGGAAATATTCCTAGACCTCTCACGACCCTCCTCTCTTGTTTATAGGCAATTTCTTACGTAAATTTATATATGTGTATTTTTCCGGCGAGTAAGTATATATATATATTCTCTACTCGTTTTCTTCACTTTGTGGTGATTTAGAATGGGAAGGAAGCTGTATTTATAGCTGTAGATCGATCATTCTAGGCTGAATCATACATGGAGTGATTGGTTTGAATTATTTCTTCATTATTATTCAATATTATTATACATAGTATTATGAACATGCATGTGTAAATGTTGGTTGTTCTAATGCATTCTAAGTCTAGTCCGCAAGTTCATTGCATATATTATTACCTCTATTTGTATTATTGTGAACACCTATGTGTATGATTGTCATCCACAAGTTACATTTTATGTGTATATGTATATTATTACATGTTACAAAATGTCACTTATAATACTTTGATATTTATTTTTATTTACCTTGTCAGATATATTTTATCTGATTTATTTTTATTTTTATTTATTTTATTTTTTTTTTTTCGATGCCACATAAGTGTTTAATTTTCATTGCATGTAGTGTGCGTATATTTTTATACACCAAGTATAAAAAAAATATTTTGATCTTACTTTCATTTGATTTATCAGATATAACTTATCTGATTTATTTATTTATTTTTATTTCAAATTTTCAAGGTATCACACTTTTTGCCTATCAACATTACTTATCCTCTTGAAAGATTGGCCAAGCTATACACGGAGGAGATTGTGAGATTACATGGAGTCCCAATATCCATTGTCTCGGATAGGGATCCACGATTCACATCCCGATTTTGGCCAAAGTTTCAAGCATCGTTGGGTACTAAACTGAAGTTTAGCACAGCTTTTCACCCACATACGGATGGACAGTCCGAACGGGTGATACAGATTTTGGAAGACATGCTTAGGGCATGTGCGCTGTAGTTCCAAGGAAGTTGGGACAAGCATTTGGCCCTAGTGGAGTTTGCTTATAACAACAGTTATCAAGCAAGTATCGGCATGCCTCCATATGAGGCATTGTATGGGAGGAAATGCAGAACACCGTTGTGTTGGGACGAGGTTGGCGAGGCCAAACTCGAAGGGATAGAGCTGGTTGAGATCACCAAGGCCAAGGTAAGGATCATTCGGGATAGATTGAAGGCTGCTCAGGACCGACAAAAGAGTTATGCTGATAAACGGCGGAGACCGTTGGAGTTCTCAGTCGGTGATGAGGTCTTCCTAAGGATTTCTCCTTGGAAGGGCATCATTCGATTTGTATCGAGGGGAAAGCTTAACCCCCGATACATTGGTCCATTTGAGATCCTTGAAAGGATCGGAGCCGTGGCTTATCGTCTCAAGTTAACGCCGGAACTTGAGAAGATACATGATGTGTTTCATGTATCAATGCTCAAGAAGTACATACGGGATCCCTCTCATATTCTTGAGAAACCGCCGGTAGAGATCCGTGAGGATTTGCAATATGCGGTAGAGCCGGTGAAGATAGTAGGTCAACAAGTGAAGAAACTTAGGAATAAGGAGATTCCTATGGTAAAGGTTCTTTGGAGGAGTGATCGAGTCGAAGAGGAAACTTGGGAGACCGAGGTCTCAATGAGGGAGCAATACCCATTCCTTTTCGATTAGACACGTGGATTTCGGGGACGAAATCCCAAATAAGGGGGGGTGAACTTGTAACACCGTCCCCAAATGTATTTACTTTTACGTAAATGATGTAATAAACCTTATGGAATGATTTATGAATTTACGAAGTTGTAAATTTTTATTAATTCTTTCGCGTGAAGAGTAAATTGCACGTGGGACCCACACTGGGAGCGGGGGCCGCCCGACATTCCCGAGGCCATATATTTTATTCATCTTGGTCTAGATAATAAATATATAGTGGTGGATATTTCATTTGGGCCATGGAAAGGCCCGGAGTTGACCGATTGGTCAAAAGAAGCCCAAATTACCGGTACTGGTAATTTAACAGATAACAGCCCGAACTGAATTTCGGAGACTTATAAATTAAAGTTGGGGAATGTATATTCATTATACATGTCATAATGAGTAAGAGTACATAATATATTTTATTTGACCCGATAAAATAGAATATATTTAAAACAGTCCGAAAAATACAACTTTCGGGACCGATTGTACACATCCGGGCAGCACAAAGGGATGACCTCCCACATGAGTGGGGGCCACCCCACGAATTTTTCAACCCTTGGGGGCTGGATGAGTGCTAGATGGGCTGAATAACAATTGATAGGATGGGGGAGACACCCTTTGACATTTAGTAGACCCCATTCCTTCACTCATTTGTCCAAATGAGACAAAAACCACACCCCTCACCTCACCACTCTCATCCACTCGTAGAAACACCCTAGGATAGCAAGGAGGAGCTCTGCAAACCACCATTTTCACACCCAAATTCGAGCTCAAGCTTTAGTGCTCAAAGGAAGAAGATTAAAGAGGGAAAAAGTTGGGAAAAGTGTGAACAATTAAGGTAATGACCTTATATTAACTTTTCCTTTATTTTTCTTCCACCATATGAAGTATATATCATATAAAGAACCTTTAGTATGGTTCCATATGTTATAAGTATGGATTCATGGGTTGGAAGGTGGTTCTACGTCCAAAAACGGACTTAGAAGCCAAAACGACCGGTTCACCGGAAAATAACCTTTTAGAGGTTATTTGTATTAATATGAGTTTTATGATTATAAAACCTTGTTAGGAACTTGTAAGGGGTATTTCAAGTGATTTCACAAAGTTGGAAAACTCGCCGGAGTTGTCGCCGGAGTTGACCAAAAGTCGCCGGAGTTTCACCGGAGTTCAACCAAGAAGGGTAGAACTTCATAACGCTAGTTCAAGGTGAGTGGACGGCTTAATATCTTATAACTTTTGGGTTAATTATGAGATTACCTAAATAAATGTTATATGTGTTCATGATGATGTTTAAAAGATATTTAAACATGTGATTAGCCAACATGATTAAGTTGTATGAAAAGAATTAATTGTTTATGCATGAAATATGATATGAGGAATTATATAAAATGCATATTAGCTTGAAGTGTAAAAGAAGCACAAATGAGTATTATTAACTTAATTATATGATGATTAAGTTGATATGTACAAGGCTTGAATTGGCGGTCAACGACAACGTTGACCGATGGATAATGGATTAATTAATATCGGTTGATATTAGTTAATTATACATTTATATAATTGCATGGCTTTGCATGGATTGTGATACATAAGCTTTATGTATTGAATTAGTTATGAGTAACTAAGTATGATATAGACTCTATCTAGGTTGATAGGAGGTTGATCATAGGAAAATATTTTGGTGGAGGACCCTAGTACTTAAAAGTACTTAACACTCAAAACTTGGTGGAGGACCCTAGTAATTAAAAGTACTTAACACTCAAAACTTGGTGGAGAACCCTGGGGCTTAAAGTCCTTAACACTCGGATTATAAATTGGTGGAGGACCCTGGGGCTTAAAGTCCTTAACATTCGGATTACAAATTGGTGGAGGACCCTGGGGCTTAAAGTCCTTAACACTCGGATAATAAATTGGTGGAGGACCCTAGTACTTAAAAGTACTTAACACTCAAAATTTGGTGGAGGACCCTAATACTTAAAAGTACTTAACACTCATAGATTATGATATTGAAATAGGGACAAGGAGGAGTCCTATACCCTCATAGGTATATGGGTGGGTTGGGGTTTTTAGTCAAGAATATTGACTATTACTATTTTCCCAAATAAAATGGTGATCTACGGATCGGGTATTTTCCAAGTATATATATACTAATGAGTATTTCATAACTTGGGGGGAAAGACTATTTATATAAGTATCACCCTATGTTTGGGTCTTATACTTGAAACGCTAGTTATTGTATATTTAGCCTGCTACTCGCTCGGTACTTGTACTGACCCCTTCGGGGGGGCCCACCATTTTCAGGTTGAAGCTAGGGCTTGCTACTTGCACCTTCTCACGGGTGATATCAAATCAGGAAGACGTGGTTCGTGCTTCCTTATTTTCTTTCAAACTACCGAACACTTGCTCATGGATATTTGTTTTGCTATAAACTATTTTTGGGGCTTGCATGCCCATGTTGTTGGCCGGATGTGGCTCATGACTTACCGTTGAATATTTCCGCTATTCATTGGTTTAAATGTGATGTTGCTATGTATGTTTACTACTGAGTATGGATGGATTATATTCTCAGACGCCTTGTGTAATTAAGTGAGGTTGACTCGCGGGTGACGTCACTTGATAATACGGCGGTTGTACACGCGCTTGGATTGCGGTCTGGGACGTGACACAGTGTATGACTAATACAAATCTCAAGTAATACGACGTTCTTTTTTTTAATCTAATAACAAGGAAAAAATAAACAACTCTAAGTATTAGATTACGGAAATATACTAAAATTGTATATCTCAGGGTAAAAGTGTAGAACTAAACATACCTTAACTTACACTTAAGGAGTTCCTTGTAAATCTAAGTGCACTCCTGTTTTTTTTTTTTTTGGGGAGGGGGGGGGGGGGGGGGGGGGGGTAAACTGGGGCATTGACTTTCTAACCTCATGACCTTAAAAGTTAAAACTCCATTTTCACCATTATGGGGTTAACACTCATTATTTGGTTAGTAGGAAGAGGATAATTTGACTGTTGGTACATTTACTTTGCTCTTTCTTATTTACACAATAACATTCACTTTGATGTTAACTACATAACATCATTCACTGTGAGACTATCAGACAATCATGTGCTTTTGAATATTTAAACTTCTCTTTCTCTATGTGTTTTCCAATATTTATTGCAGTGAATTCATAACCCAAACTCTTGAACCCATATTTTCCTTTGAAGTGGACAGGTGGTATATCATATGTTCAACAAAAGATCACTTACTATCGATTGGGGGTGTCGGTAGAGAAAACTGAGGTTTAAATATTAGATTTGACTGTATGAAATGCTCAAATGCTAGTAGCTAGTAAATGCTTTCAGGTAAAAAATCTAATCATACCATGGTATAAGGCAATGAGTAATCAATGAGAGCCAAATTAACTTATAGACAGATAATGATTTTGTTTTTGAGTAACCAATGGTTTGCTA